CTTTTTTTAGTAAAATAAATAGATTGGTATGGGACGTCATCTGCTTTTCTTCTGTCATCGTTTGTCGAAATCTTACCTGAGAAAAAAAACAGAGTTTAGTTTACTTAAGTAATAAATAATGAGTTGAATGTTTGGTTACATCGATTAGATTTACCGATTATCGGGTGGTCATAGCGCAGAATGCTTAGGTTAGGTTAGGTTGCTGAGATTTGGGATCATGTTTCCCAAAAAAAATCAACCAATTCAAATTATATCACTTACTCGAAGGCCTTGTGCCCATTGGGATACCCCTGTATTATTGTACTAAACCTTCCTCTCATTCTTTCTTTGCGTTAAATCACTTCCAGCTCTTTGCAAAATTCCCGATGTCGCTGATGTTGGCTTCTGCTGCTTTTTCTAGTCCCTCCAAAAAACCTTGCCCTAAAGTTTTAAAGCGTCGGTATTCCAGTGCCGGACAGTGGCACAGCAGGTGCTCTATGGTTTCTTCTTCCTCTCCGTATTCTCTGCAGTAGTCTTCGGTGGAAATCTTCCATCTCACGAGGTATACACCCGTGAGGCAGTTTCCAGTGATGACACCTACAATTATGTGTACTAGATTTTTTTGTGCTCTAGTAGTTGTTTTGTCTTTTTGGTATCTACCACTGGCCATAGTCTTCGAACTGTAGAGCAGTCCTCACGGTGTTGCCACGTGTCTTAGCGCAGGATGCGTATGTACCTTGAACTCATGATAAGCACATTAAACTCAGCATACAAGGAATGGGGCCTTAGTAGGAACATCGACAAAACGGAATATTTGGTGACCAATTCTATTAATAATAAATTTGATATTTTCATTGCCGATGACTCAAAGCTCAGACAGGTTGAATAATTTTTGACTGGACAAAACAGAAATATCTACTAGAATAGAACAAGGGCGGAAGATTATAGAAGCACTAAATTACATCTGGCGAAGTCTGTCCCAAGCAGCATTTGGACGTCGGGACAACGTTGTGTCACGCGACCAAACGTCGGGGCGCAACGTCGGCACAACGTCGTGCCAACCCTAGTCTGCACTAGTTTGGAGAATAATTTTTGGGTCGAAACGACGTTGGATACCGACGTTGGCTAGAAGCCTAATTTAGTACAAACTGCAACGTTGTTTAAAATCCTAATTCACAGAAATACAAAACTAATATGGCGTCTAAGTCGCGTTTTATCCTAAATTGGGATAATTATAGTAAAAATATTATTTTTATGATTTAGTTAGAGACATAAGTCAGATGGCAGTCAAGGAAAACAAAACAAAGGTATTTAAGTGTGGAGGATGTTTGAAGATAATAATTATTGAAACACTTTAACCGACTCTGTAACTCGTTACCCAAGGCAAAAAAGTTAAACGCAAACAACTTTATTGATAAATGTATTGTTTCTACTTTGAAAAATACTAATGGGCCTTAAAATTAAAGAAGTTTCAAATATTTTCTTGAATTTTTTTTAGTAAAATGAGAATAATTTATTCGCAGTCGAAAAAATTGTTTCCGCGTGTTTTTTAGGGTCAAATATTTCAAGTTAATGTATTCAAAAAGCAGGAATTGCATTTTAGGAACGAAACATTTTCTTATTTAACAACATGGCGGCTTTCACTTTGTTGTTTTGGAGATTAAGATGGAGTAGTTCGAGTAGTCACATACTGAACTAATAAAGTCGCAGTTCGGCCTTAACAGGTAGTATACTAGTCGCAAGATTGCCTAATTTAGTCATCCTAAAGTCTAGCTTGTGCCGCCCTCTATAATCTAAATAAACGAGGGAGTGGATAAACTATCGGTAATATATGTCGATGTATATTTAAATTTAGTTTTTATATACCTTTCTTGTAATCCCATTTTAATTAATTTTTTTTTTTTATAAAAACAAAAACAGCACTGAACTGTCTGACTGAACAGAACAATGAAGTGAAAATTTAAGATTTAAGGTTATGGTTCAATACAGTTGCAAAAAGGTAGTGACTCGACGTCCTACCAACGTAAGAATAAGGAAATCTAAACAACGTTGGAATTAGTAAAACAGACGGCGTTTGCATAACGTTGGAATAGGTCCTGAAACTGACGTCGGAAAACTCTATATTGTCCAACGTTGTAACTACGTTGTCCGAATCACCTAAAGATCACTTAAGCAAAAAAGGTTACAAGACAACGTTTATTCGACGTCGCAGAAGCTTCTACTTTGCTGTAGTACTAGTCCAACGTTGGCACAACGTTATAAAAACGTTTAAATTTATTTTAATACCCAAGGTAGGGAGCTAACTATTTTTTGTAACTAATCCAACGTTGTGTTTAGTAAACATGTGGTCGCAAGTCGTGAAAATGCTACTTGGGAAGTGTTAAAGCACTTAGGAAAATTAAGACACCCAAAATCTCATTCAAATCGGAATAAAGGTTCTTAAAATATCCGAAAAAAGTGTTTATATTCTTTTAAAGTTTTATGCCCACTAGTTGACAAACAAAGCACTTTTGTATAGAAGTAATTTATGTCGAATGAACTTATTTTGATTCTAAAAATACGTAGTAGTTCTATGTCCACGAAATATTGCGACACCCTATATACATATAGGTCTCAATAAAAACACAGTTGTTTTCTAGGTATTTTAAATAATGCCATACTGCAACTTTTCAAAACCACATTGTATATAGAGGATTTCCTAACCATATCGGAACTACCCGACAAACCGGGTCTATACTCATACACACAAGTGAAAATCAACAAAAGCCATTTCAGGAAGTAAACACTTCGTTTATAGTTTTACTTTTAGAGTCACTCCAATTAAATCGAAGAGAACCAGTCTTCTGCCACTTTCCCAATAGGACAAAATATCTTGTTTAAAGGAATTTTACTACAGGTGCGACAGTGTGTGTGTTGGTATGGCTGTACGATTGTTAATTTGCTCTCGATTTCTTTTAAGTGAAACTATTTTTGAGAAGAAATTTGCATAATTTGAATTTTGAACTGTCGCTTTCTTGATGACAACAGGTCTGGTTTTTGGGATGATCTAATCTACATACCCAATTGAAATTAAACCAATTTTTAATATAATTCTTGTCGTTCCTCTATATGTATTGCTATACAGGGTGTTTCAAAAAACATGTGCCTTCTCTCGTGGGAAGATTTCTCACGTAAAAATAAGATTTATTTTTCATATCCTCATAACTCCGATTCTGCTTTGTTTCGTAGATTCTTCTTAAGGTGCCGTGCAGAGTCCTGCGTAGGCGTTCATCTTTTTCTTCCTCATCAAATGGTTCTATTAATTGCAGCGACTTGGAGTGCTTGGAAGTCCTGTATGCCTGTCCAATGACGAATATTTCTCAGCCAGGATAGCTTCCTTCGGCTTATTCCTCTTTTGCCTCCTTCTATTTTACCCTGGAGAATCAGACGCTCAAAGTGATAGCGTTCTCCACGTAGTATGTGTCCCAAATAGGCTATTTTCCTCTTCTTGATGATTTCGAAGAGTTCACGTTCCTCTAGACCAGCTCTTCTGAGAATATCTTCATTTCTCACACGGTCGACTCAGGGCACTCTGTCCACATTTCGAAGGCTTCAATTCGGTTTATTGTTGCTGCCTTCAGTGTCCATGCTTCCACACCATATATCAAAACGGACCAGACATAGCGCTTCACCATTCTGTATCTAAGGCCGAAGTTCAAGTTCCTATCTGTGAGAAATCTTCGAAGTTTCAGAAAAGTAGATCTTGCTTGTTCGATCCTGCATTTGATCTCCTGATCTGGATCCCACGTTTCGTTAACCATGCATCCCAAATATTTAAATTGTGTGACCTGCTTGATGACCTCTCCATTTAAGCGAATTCTGGTGTTTGGAATGTTGTTTCTGCTAACAGCCATAAATTTAGGTTTTTTAGTATTTATGTTTAAACCCAGTCTTTGGCTTTTGTTGTTAACCTAATTTAGAAGAATTTGGAGATCATTTGCATTGTCTACCAATATCACTGTGTCATCCGCATATCGGATATTATTAATTTATTAGCTTCGTAGCTACAGGGTGTTAAAGTCTTATTATCTTTTCGATTTATTATAATTTTCTTCCAAGTACTTTTAGCGTTTCGAATGAAATTTTGAGGGTAAAAGTTACTATAAATTCGACATATTTATTAAAGCTAAAAATGTGTCGACATGTTCACCATGGACGTGCATATGGGTTATTACTGGAATATTTTTCTAAAATAAGCATGTACGCCACTGACTTTTTTTTCTTTTGTTAGCGACATAGTGTAAGCAGCTTAAAGCCGATTAAAATTTGTCTCTTTATATTTTGTCGATTTCGGCCTCCTTGATGAGATAAACGCAATTTTAATAATTTGCCTTGATCCAAGTATAATAGGAACCTTTAAAAAAATTTAATATCATTACCTTGCGAAAATTTTAAATAAGCACTCAATGATTTCTCATCAAAAAAAGTTCCTATAAACATGTGTATAGAAATCCATAATTTTAGAATTACAGGACGTTAAAACTTTTTAAAATTAGGTTCTTTGTAATTATCTTAAATACCATTATTTTTTTCTTTCAAATTGCTGTAGGTTGGACTAATAGTAACAATAACTAATAGCAATAATATTTAACAAGAAATTAGGTAAACTATATTATAATTTATTAATTTTATTTTTATTTTATTAATTGTGATTAATAAAAATGCGTTTATCTCATCAAGGAGATAACTTTTAATTGGAGTACAGCCTACACAATTTTGATATCAAAAGATAAAAGTCAGTGGCGCACATGTTTTTTTTTTTATTTTTATTTTATATGGGGAGTTATATGGTATTAATATTTTCCCATAAAAAAATAAGAAGAAAAAATATTATTTTGTATATTATGTATATTAAATATTTGTCTGTAAGACACGTTTGCTCAAAATACGAAAAAAGGTTCAAAAAGAACCCCACTAAACCGGCAGTACCGACCGTAGTGGGTGTTGTATAAGAACCAAAGCGACATTCTCCCGAGGACTTTCTTCGATACGGATATACAAGAAGTGGTGCCGCGGCGCGCGTGTGTCAGTGTGAACAGCGACTAAGTTTACTATGGTGATCGGTGATCGGTCCTTGCGATAACAATCGAGTGAGTTCTCTTGAGTGGTACCTTGACTCTCCGTGCGCTCTTATTGGATTACTTTAACGATGGTAAGGAAACAAAATGTGGTGATGTAATTGCGGTAATGATATATGTCGTCAAATATAATCGAAAGTGATCGATTTTTTTGTGATTGTTCGATGTTGTGACCTGTGGCCTGTGGCTATCGTCAGCAAATACGATATGATCAAAATTAAAAAAAACGGCGTCAAAGACGGATAGGAAATGAGAATCGATGATAATTTTGACGAGGTGAATGTCTAGACGTCATATCATTTTCCAAAAATTAACATAAACCTGGTCAAAATTAACACTAATTATAGAAAGATTAAAAAAGGATAGAATGTTTCCATGCACACAAATTTGTAAAACTAATGCAAAAAGGACATATCGTACAACAAATATGCTTTTTGCACATGCTGCACACATTTTTTCTACGATCGAATTGAAATTTTTATTAAAAAGTTTTTACAGTAATTTACAGAATATTATTACCACTAACAATGGCACTTTTATTTTTTTAATATTTTTTTTGAGTTCATTTTAATTTTAATGGTGCAGTTCCAAAAATTTACTAAGGTAATTGATGGACAAACTCCACTTCCAGTAGTCTTTTGAATTTTATTTTAACTTGTGCTCGTGGAGGTCTCGGGTTCTTGTTTTTCTCTTAAAACTCTTTTCCGGAATGTTGCTGCGAGGTGTCCAGTACTAGTACTGGGTTTATCTTCCAAGATTTGACAAATGTTTACCATAATTTACATTGTAAAAAATTGACTTTTAATGCAGTAGATGGTGTAAAAAATAGCTACTTTTTGCAGGACCGTAGAAAAAAATATTTATTCTCGAAATTACAGCATTTAAAAATAAATTTTACTCAATATGAAAAAATACAATCTTCTTAATCTCAACTGCCAGGAAGCGCCATTAAAAAATAAAGATAACTTTGGCAAAATTATCATCGATTTTCATTCCCCAGCCGTCTTCGACGCCGTTTTTTTTTGACCGCATGGAACTACCAGTACATAATAATGAAATTATTTTATCCACAATCATATAATAATGGGGGTTTTATACACTCATACGAAGTTCATACGAAGTCATTCCATTATTAAATTCGGCTAAAACTTTTCCGTAATGGTCGCTAGACTTCGCAGGCAGTAAATGGCTAGTTACTTCTTGAGCTCTCGCAAAAAAATGCTGCAATACCTTCATCATCTTGAATTTTTCCGGGATCTTTAATAAACCTTTGAAAATTCTTAAGATACAGGCTTGAAGCATGTTTGTATCAGTACTAAACAACATAGTAACTAAGTTGTTAATACGAAAGAACACAGTTACTAGTTACTAAACAACATATATATAGAAACAAAAAATGTAATAAATTTTTGCGAAAGTCTCTTTTTGGACGAATAAAAAATAAGTCGTCGTTGATGTAGGGCTGAGGGTAGATTTCTCACTTCTTGTATTCGTTCTGTATTTCTTTTTGAGAGTCATATCTTAAAGTACCTAGCAATACATAGACATACCCCAAATTCTATTCATATCGGAATATCAGACACAGACAATAAAGTTTATAGTTCATTCGCCAAATTTTACGGCAGACCTAATAAGCAAAGACAGAAATACTATTAAAGCTGTATTGGGTCTACTAACCGAACATTGTAAGACATCTAAAGCTAATATGAGATCTTGACAATCTGAAGGAGAAATGACAGAACATATTTTATGTCAGTAAGACAGCCTTGAAAATGTGCGGTTCTTTGTATTAGGCAATGACAGGCCACGGACAAAGCGCTACATGGGGAGTCCAAACTCCAAGTTGCTACAATTTTTGAAAAGGAGGACTAGAGATAGTCACCTCAAAAATTGTTCTTCAAAAAAGGCATTTTTTAATTTATTTTCAATTTTGATTAATATCGTTTTTGAAAACTAAAAAAATATCCAATGATCTAGGGTAGTGTAAGGCGTTCAATAATAAGTTATTATTGTCTTTTCTTTTTGTAATAATTTTGGGTTGGTTAAAGGCGATGTAATTTCAACATAGCTACAGTATTGTAATATTCTCTAAACGATAAGTATGACGAAACTATAATTGTTCCTTTAGACGGCTGAAATTGCTGTGACTAGACAAATTATGTTGAAATTCTTAAGAGGAGTTCGGCACTCTCGATGCTCTTGTCGTCTTTGATCAATATGAAGCGATATTTACTTTGTACCACTTTTGATGTATATCTAAATGTACATATTCATACATACATGTGTTTACATTTTTTCGTTCAGTCACAAATTACCTATAACAGATGCGAAAGAAAGCGACTGCATCGGAAACCGCTCGGCAAACCCGACACGCCTATTGAGTGGTGTAAATACACCAGTCGTTTAGTCCGGAAACATATGCTGTGTCGTATTCGCTTGCTGGAATGATTATACAGAAAATAATTATTATACAGAAAAGTCCACAGACTTCGAGACATAGGAAAATCAAGTCCATTTAGCGTGTGTCCAAATTTTGACAAGTTTTCAAAAATGACAGTTTTGTTTAGACTGACGTTTAATTTCACCTGACTTCTCGGTGAATGATTTCTTTTTATGAGGGTACATAAAATCTAAAATTTACAGCCATGAAGAAATTCAAAACTTGGAGCAGTTAAGGCAGAAAATATTTAATGCCTTTTACCCCTGATATGTTATCCAATGTGAGGAGGGGATTTTATGATCGTTTGGGTTATTGTTTAATGCAAGAGGGAGGCACTTTTGAACAATTTTTGTAATTTTTTAAATTTCATTATCCTGTTTTTTTTACCGTTTACCCATTACCTACCTTGAAGAAAATGGGAAAACGAAGGTCCTTTTCAGGACCACAAATATTTTGATTGAGAAAATTGGTAACTTTTTTTTGGATTAAAAAACAAAAGTTGTTAATATAATACCAATTTAAAAGTGTTTTAGTAGTTTTAATACACACTATGATATAAAATTTATTATTATTATAATGTACATTATTAATACTATTGTTCATTCGAAATGGCATTAAGGCCCAATTGCAACAATGATAATTTTTTTTTAAAGATAAGTAGAGCTTAGAATGAGCTGTATTTATATTTACTTTAATATTCACCTTAAATGAGGGAATTTGACTGATACAATTTTTGAATTTGAATTGTTTTTAATGATACTAACAATTTTAGTTCAATTTTTAATAAAATTTATTTAATATTAATAGAAATCCAAGAGATTTGAAACCTAATTTAGCGATTTATAACATTCTCAAATGAATTACAGGTGCCCTTATTTTCTATGAAAATCACACAGCTTTTTTCATAGTCGCTGCAGTTGCTATAGCTATAAAAAACTAATTTTTTAAGGTGTGAAAATTGCGACACACGCTAAATGGACTTGATTTTTCGTATGTCTCGAAGTCTGTGGACCTTTTTGTATGCCTCGATAACATATTGGTGCAGATTATTTTCACCCAAACAAATAATAACCCAAACTATACATTGATGCGGATTGTCTATGAACTCTTTCTGAAGGTCACAGAAACCTGAACGCGTAATTCGGTGTTCTTTCGCATCTGTTATAGGTAATTTGTAGTTCAGTTCGCTGTTTCACAGATATCTCTTTCGAGAAGAAATTTAAATATTATAATGACGAATAATTATGAATACTTTAATATTTAAAACAAACTAAAATTTAAAGCTATTAATAATAAAAAACGACAGATATTCAACTAGTAATTGTAAAACGAATTAAAAAATTTATACTGGGCTGTTTAAACTTTTCACTGAACCTTCACTGTAGATGCACAATTCTTTTAACAAAAGTTGATCGGAGATCAAATTGTTTCATTCTTCATCTTCGGTGTACAAATTACAGGAAACAAAAATTAGAGACACAATCCACAATTATCACTTTGGACGATTCATTACAAGTTGATCACTCGAAGTAAGTGTAATCGATACTTTAACCCTATTTGTGTACTTCGAATAGTACTAGACATACTCTACTTTATTTTATCGTATTATCACCATCATCTTCAGCTTATTCAACCATTTTCAATTATTGTGTAGCCTCCATTACATATTGAGATACTTTCTTTGTAGTTTGACCCATTGTTGTCTATTTTTGGCTATGCGGGCCCAAATTATCTCTGCTAATTTCCTAATATTATGGTCCCTTCTCAGGTTCAGTCTTCTTCTAGGTCTCTGAATTCCTCGTAGGTACCATACTGTCATTTTTGTGGTCCATCTGTTTTCCCTCCTGATTACCAGGTGTTCTGTCCATTGCCACTTGTGTGGTAAAGAATAGTGTATAGATGTTTCACCAATATAAATTTTCTCACATTCTTAGGTATTGCTTAGAAATTGACATGCGCTTCCAGTTTTCAAAAAATATCACTCAATACTTGAGCTCAATATGCCAAAAATTACAATGATTTTAAATATTTCTTTTATATCCCAACAGAGTTATAAAACAACCAACTAATCACTAGCTAGCATTTCTATGGTATTTGTTTCAGGCACTGATTACCTCTTGATCCGCGAACGATTATATTTTTTCCTATTACCGACCGATCGTTTAATCTAAAAACTATTTTCAATATAAAACAAGATCCGCAAAGGCAACACCATTTTAAGACAAACCAGCAATCCTCGAGTTTTCTCTTAATTTTCACTCGTTTTATTTTGCACACCATGTCATGCTCTGCTTTGCACTAATTCCACTTGTTCTAACTAAATTATGATTGGCGGAAATATATGTTTTGTATTATTTTACTAATACTCGATTTGAAAGTGGTAGTAGTATATTTGACACTTTTTTTATTCCATTATCGTTACATATACCTGGGCGATTTCAAATAAAATAAAGTTATTAAATAATGCAATGACTAAAGAATCCAAGGACAAATAACACCCGAGAGCAAATTGTGACGCTGTCACCAAACAGTGCCGTGGCACATATTTTTCTTAACCTAGCTGTTTGAAGCAATATTTATATTTTTTGATAATTGTTTTGACTACGCCTATGGTGTATCATTCTAATTAATTAC